TATATCTATATAATATAAATATATATATATAACGGGGTATATAGGTATAGGTGTATATATCCATACGTATATAATAATGAGTAGGCAGGGCTTATCCATGAATATTTAGAAATGCTCTGGTCATGACGTTCATTCTGTGATCGAGACTGGATAGTCTGACCAGATATCCCAAATTAAAGTCTGTGAAACTGTTTCCAAATTATTTTCAATGGTTCGACTTAGATTTTATTCCATAATGTTTCTGTCATACTTTACATTTCATGTCAGTCAGTTTAAGGCATTCGTATCTCTGGCAGGGCAACATATATACATACATATATAGTCAGCCAGTCCAATGTGACAGAGGGGTCAGGTAGGTCAAATTGTGAAACTAGTGACCAATCTTGCCTCCATGGTGGCAGACAGCCTTAGGGGTGACAAGTGCACAAACACATGCTAACAACAGTATATTAATGATTGATATGATTGGGGGGGGGGGGTGTTGAATTCAACTTTGATTGCAGCCGAAAGACAGAAGCAAGGCAGCATGATGCAGAAAAGCTGCAAGAGACATTCTACTGAGATACATAACGAGGCATCAACTGAGCAAATAAAAGCAGAGAGGCCGTAATGATACTCTATTATTGTGACACGCATAGAGAGAGAGCAGTAGAGAGGTCTGAGGCTGAAACAGGCTGCTGTATGTGGACTGACTGACTGACTGACTGTCCACTGGCTGCTGCCTGTCGTAAACAACTCGCAGAGAACAATGGGCAGGGTTGGGTTTACTTTATCCGATTATACAAATATGAAGGCATCTCTTCTCGTGTAAGCCGAGAACCTCTTCAGACCCCACAGGACACGCAGATCAAACCACCACGCAATGTTTAAAGCATCAACGTCCACTAAAGCCATCACCGGGTCTTTCACAGTCAGTCCACCCGCCGAGAGCTAACGTTAGCTGGGAGCAGCGACCCACACTCGGTCGGGGATTCATGTCGCCTGTCAGCCGCCTTCAGTCGGCGGAGAAACGAGCCCAGCAGCTCACGTTCAGTAAAACAAGTGATGTGCGTTGAGATTGGCTGTAATAAAAACACATTAGATAGAAATAATCGGACCTGTTTACCTGTTAGAGTAGCTGCACTCCACAGGGCGCCGCCATCTTGAACACCTCACAGCCCATCCCACCGCAGTCCGCCTCCGCTGTCGGGCTGCATGCAAACTAATCCCACAAGTTAGCGCCCCGCAAGTCGCAACCGCAACTTCCACAACCGGTTCACCCGAACAACATTTAAAATAAGTTGGTTAAATTACGTCTGATAACTCTGACCCGGTAGTTTCATCTGTAGCCGCCACCGGACACAATCGTAGCTCTGCTGCAAAGCTAAGATTGTTTTTCTATCTGCCCACTGGTGGAAGGATGAGCGTGTAATGCGGTTTCGCGTGACCCATATGTGAAGAGCGCACGCGCAAATTAGATTTTTTTTTTTTTTTACCAGGTATCGATGAGATCGATATGGAAGTCCATTTCTGCCAGAAATAACTAAAAATAAAAAGGATTTCAAAAGTTTAGAATAGCAAAAAGATAAATGTTTGGTGGGACAAAATTATGAGATAGTAAAGCAAACGTATCATATACCTTTACTTTTAGAGTCAGATCAATGGAAATTATGTCGAAATTGTAAATATTTCAGGTTTCAATGTTTCATTTTATTTTTCAATAAATATTATTTTGTTACAAACTTTCTAATAATTTCACTAATTTTCATATAATATCATAATCTTGACTTAAAAAAGGAAGGATTATGACATATTATCATTTCACATTAATAGTCAAAACTGTGATTTACTATCTCATAATTTTGATTGAGGTTTGCCACAGATATTTTTAGTTTTGCTATTCCTAACATCTCATATTGTCATTTTATATTGGCATGAATGGGATTCCATACTCTCAATACTAATAGTAAAGCTGAACCTGTGTTTATTTTACATACTTATTACATGTAACATCACATACTATGTCACTAACAATCGCTTTCTATGAAAACTATTCTGATTAAACTGCTGGCCTGACAGTATATAACTGAGGACTGATCATTTATTCGTTACTCGTTTAAGATTTTAAGACTGCTAACATGGTCATAATTCAGAAGAAAGTTTTACTTAGAAAATCAACAGCACGTGAGAAAAATAGGACTTTGAGAGGCAAAGTTTAACTCGTGAAGTGTGAACTGAGGTAAAATAAACAGCAGAGTTCTATTAGATTAAACTAAATTCAACTTAATTGTCATTACACAAGTCCCAGTACAATTAAATGTGATTTAGGATCAAAACAGAAAGTGCAAATAGAAGTAGTCATAGACACACACACATACACTTTTATGTATGTATATTATTATTATATACTATTATGACAAGTATGTTATGCAGTGTAACTATGATATATGTACAGTGTACAGTGGATTCCTCCCTACATGATGCCAACATGTTAAAATGTCAATTAATTGAAGTGTGGTGCATGCTTAACAGAGGCGATGGACTTTTCTCTTTTGTAGTCTTTTGTAGGGTAGGGATTGTCTGAGCATGTTTGCTCATTTACAGCAACAGTTACCACTGAAAAAATAAGATAACAGGAACAAATAGAATCACAAACAGAACAGAACAATAAACAAACAGGAGCGACAGGGTTATTGGTGAGGCCCTCGTGACTTTAACCAGCCTCATATCAGACAATATCAACTCCATTTAAACACACTTTGTCCAGTGGGCTAGGCTGTTGTGCTGTGTGTGTGTGCGTGTGTTTGTGTGTGTGTGTGTGTGAGTGTGTTTATACATCCCTGTTTCAGGCCTCAAGCGCTTGTCCAACAGGGGTTGCAGCAGCAGCAGTTTCAGACCTTTGCAAGCACAAAGAAACGCCCATTTGAACTCCTTGTAAGTCATTTAAATAGGAATCAATCTTCATTGGGTCATATTAACATACTTAATAATGAAGCTATTAAGCTAATAGCTAACAATCCAGGTATTTCCTGTTACAGCTGCTTTTAAATATTACATTGTAGTATATAACTAATCAATACTCGTGGTATTATAACATCCGGTGGATAATAATATTCAAAATTCATACTCTGGCAAACTGAGACCAAGGCATGTTCATATGAAGCTTTATCATGACAAGTAATTGTGTAGCCGATTATTTTCATTATGCACAAACAGCACAAGACGTATCTATGTAACATAAAGTAAACACACATAATATAACATAATTTTAAAAAGCTTAATGGACAAGTTCAATTTAATAATGTGAAGAAATAGTCACTGAACTTGTTATCACTCCCAAACTGTATCAGAGATCCTTTAATACATGCACTTATTGCTGTTCAAGGTTTATTTGCATCACTAATATCATGCCCTTTTCACACCAAATGTACATTTCCCATCTTTACGTGACTGAAATATATTTAGCCTGCGGAAACAGGAAAAGATGCCTGACCTACAGGCCAGCATTGGTTCACTGGGCACCTTCGAGTGACACTGACTGTAGGCTGTACTACTAAACCTAACCTTTGTCATACACACACACAAACAAACACACACACACAGACACACACACACGCACACATAATATTACACATATATTAATTTGAATCCGGGGTAAAAACCAAGTCCCCAGCACTAGAAGTGTCAAGCTACAATCTGTCCACAAGATGTCGCACCTGCACTTCTTCCCTCATTTAAATTCTCTTCTCAAAATGTTCCTCGACTCTTGAACTCCATGTATGTTTGTTTTTTGACAACCGGACATTATTTGTTCGTTTTTATCAAACTGTTTTCCCCAAAAAATATTTAATTGCCCAATTTTGCCATTTTTATCAACAAATGTTTGCCATTCTGTTGCCTACATGTGTGGCACTTAAAGCACTCTGATAAATCTGTCATGTCTGAATATCAATATGGTTCAATAAATACAGACTGAGTCAACAGTGCGAATCTCCCAGACTGGTTTGGTGTGTGCTCTTGGGTGTGATGTGGAGTTGCTACTGTCTCATAAGATCTTTCGGCTTTGTAAATCTTGCACACAACACAGACAAAGGTATTCACACACCCTTACTCAGTGTAAATGATGCAAATCAAAGATTATGAGGAGGAAATATTCGGTCGGAGTTTTAGTTGAAACTCTTTTTTGTGCTTTTGAAAATGTATTTAAACTAAATATCTGTGGTTTTAATTTAAATGTCTTTTTAAGATCTGAAATACGCAGTTAAATGCAAATAAGTTATCCTTCGTTTATTTGCAAAATTATTATTTGCTTGAAAAGTATCTCTAAACCTAAATTTTAACCTTTTAACCCTTACGGTTTTTTCTCGGAGCACTAGGTGTTTTGTATAACTGTTCCAGGGACAGCAAAGGCCCTGTGTGTGTGTGTGTGTGTGTGTTTTTTTTGTTTTTTTTTTCTTTTACGCAAATTTCCACCTGCAGGTTGGCCTTTTCATTGGTTGAAACCACAGTCAGATTCTCCTGCGCAATTATCTGATTGAAAATCAGGGAGGGGAGAAACAGTAAGAGACCAAGTGTGATGGTTTTACGCTGCTTTGCTTTCCCGACTTTTAAGAAAGGATTTTGCGACGCATTTTTCCTCCGCAGAGCCCACTCACACCCAAACGACAAGGACTTTATTATTATTACTGTTGCTGCTAGTTTAATTCCGACGGGAGCCTGCTCAGTTAACGGTGAGTGTCTGCTGCCTGTTAAATAAAGTCTCAACCAACTAAAGGGACACTTTTTACCACTTTGGTTAGTTTTCCACAAGTGATAGACTCATTTAAACTGCGAAAGTATCTAAAAAAAAATCCTAATTAAACATTGCTTGTGGGCCTGTTGACCAAATAGAAGAAGAAATAATAATTTATATTACTCAATTAGCGCGAGAGTTTAACGTAGGCCTATGTAAAATAATATAGTAAATTAAATTACAACAGAGTATAACCCAAATAAAGACTGAAAGGATTTTAATTAAATATAAAAGTAGCCGAAAATCTTGCTACAAAAATGGCCTTAATTAATATTTTATTGACATTTAATGCTTTATTCCAAAATATGTTTTAGCCCTTATTGTGTCGCTATAAGGGTTTTTAATTGTTTTGTCCAGGTGGATCATCATGCCCCGGTCATTTCTGGTGAAAAACAAAAGGTGCACGTCCTACAATGTTCACCGATTACATAAAGACGAGCCGAAGACCCCCATGAAAGGAGGTAAGAGTCGGGGAAAAAAAGTTTATTATCTGAATATGTGAGCGAAGCAACGGTTAATTACTGCGGTCTAATCTTACTGCCTTATCGTCACTTTAAAGCAGCTGCTGCGTTTGGAACATTTGCACGAATTTTTTAAAGGAGATTTAAAAAAAAAGAAATGCATTAATCAGGATGATAATAAACTCATATATCAGTCTACAGTTGAGCACATCAAAGTTCAATACCGAGTGGGTGTTTCCTATTTAAACAAAATGTCTTCCAAGAGGAACTGCAGGGTTTTGTTTTTATAGAATATTTACCCAGTCTTTTGCTTGAATGAATCACACTTTTATTTGTTGTGGATTTGCAGATGTGCCACCAGAGGTTCAGAGCACAGACTCAGAGGGGCCTCACTCAGAGGAGCAGTCTTCCCCTCAGAGCCGCTGCTCCTTTAAGGAGGAGGCAGAGCGTGAATGCCTCTTACCTGCTCACCCAAAGCCTACCAGGCCCCCTGTGGCTCCCACACAGCCATATTACCTAAATGGTGAGCTGCTAGTGCCTTTATCTTTTTCAGCTGGAGTATAACTTTTAATTAGAGAGGTAAAACATGATTTTGTTGTGTGTCTGCATCCTCAGAGCCTCACATGGCAGGATTCTCTCCTTACTACAAGCCGTCGTACGCCTGGGAGCCGGTGCCTTCCTCCTATGAGCTCCGTCAGATGAGCTTCAGCCCCACAGTGCTGCAGCACGCCAGCAATCTGTACGGCAGCCATATCAGCCACACCGCACAGCCTCAGCAGCCTCTGGACTGCAGCACGCACTACTCCCCCTCCTCCAGCACCTACCACTGTATCACCTGCGACAAAGTACGCACCACCTGTTAGTCACTTACACGTGCACATAAGCGTACAGTACCATAAAGGTTAAATCTGTAGATTTTCATCAAGACAAAACGGAAATGTAAATGTATTGTAAATCGGTTTCTGTTATCAGGCACCCCCATTAAAGGTCTGACTCTGTTTTAGGTGTTCTCAACGCCCCACGGACTGGAGGTCCACGTCAGGAGGTCACATAGTGGAACAAGACCTTTTGGCTGTAACATCTGCAGAAAAACATTCGGCCACGCCGTCAGTCTGGAGCAGCACATGAATGTCCATTCTCAGGTATATCAGTGACTCCAATATGATAT